AGGGAAAGTCATATTAACACACTCAATAAGCAGGAGAACACACAACTTTCATCACATTACAAAAACCACATGCAACAACTGATCAAAACCAAAATCACTGAAATGCACAACCATATGTATTAGAGACTGCTTCCTGAGTGCAGCAAATTTGGATACTGAATCAGGGTCAGTGTATTTCATGAATGTGTTAGCACACAAATGCAATTAAGGGGGTAGGGAGAAGAGAAGAAAGAAGCCTTGATTGTTTTCCCTTTGGCAATTTAACAGAACCTTGGACTTTACTGTGGAATTCTGTTAATCTTTTCCAAAAAGCACAAAAATAAGGGAAAATAGAGGGGAGACTGCTCAAGCAGTTTGCACAGATTATCATGTACAGAGGTTAACAATATGGTTCAGTATATGCCTCAAGTATCAGCAGATGATACTAAAATATAACTTATTAGGCCAATTAAAAAGCATTTCATAGATGTTGAAATTGAAAGAACTAAAACTGCTTAGAAACAGGTTTTGAACAAAAGCTTTCTGCACTGATGCATTCAGTGTAAATACAGCAACAAATGTCATTTACCGCTCCGCCGTTAAGCAGTGTATTCAGTTATAAAGAAAACTGTACAGCGTCCCAAAATAAAAGTTTCTCTCCTAAATTATTTGAACAGACAATATTTACAAGGTAAAGGACACCCAGATACTAACCTCACTGATTGGCTAATAACTTTTCAATTACGTATGCCTATCTGCTCTTCACATCTCCAAATTTTCAAAGCCTTTATCATTTTACGTTCATCCGTTTGAAAGACAGAACACTGTGTGAATTCACCTTTGCACTAAGACACCTTGAGAGGTAATTCAGTTGGGAACATTAACATTTTTGCCACACTGTGACGCAAATCTATGCTGAAAAGACAATGCTTTTTCTTGGTATTTTCACCAAGCGCAGTTGGCATGCTAAGTCAGACACTGCATGAAAATTAATCACTAAAAACAGATGTGTTTTATCTATAATTGGGTATTGTTATGACTCTGAAGCCTGCATTTTTGCACTGCAAGTTCACTCTGGTTCCATGCTAAATTGACGCACGTAGCATTTAAGAAAAAGGATAATCAGACATTCTTAGAAACGTAGCCTCATATACAGAGTTAAGTTGTGCACTTGCTATCTTATGCATCACCACAGGTTCATCTAGCAGCTCTTTACTGCTCATTGCATTTCAAATTTTATGTCAGCTTGTGGCAGTATACCAAGCTGTCATACACCGTGACTTCAAGGTTACCAATATTTTGTAGCATACCATATCTTTTGTCTTGCACTGGAACAGAATTCCTTCAGGGTCATTCCAGGGAACCACGCTACTAATTCTCAGGTCATAGCCATGCTTGTCCATAAACCAGTTTCCAGCAATCCCAATTCAATTGGAAAACCTGCACTGGCTCCTACTTCTTTTTCTGATTTCAATTACAGGATTTCTAGCCACACAACAATCTCAGAGCCTTCCAATTCCATGATTCTGCACCCAACTGTAGCAAATGGCTCTTGTACAATCTTTAGTATCACTGAAGAAAGTATAACTGTCAACAATCTTCTATCTTACTGGCAATCTCACTGCATACTTACATCCTGAAACAGCCCTTGCAATGTGAATTTACATTCCTTTTCCAATCTATGTAAATCACATTCAGCTGCTACCTTATTCCACCCACTAATTTCTCCCTGAGAATGCACTAAACAAATACGGCAACAAGTCTGCTCCTTCGCAGCACAAAACCATACTGTCATGGTTTAACCCCAGCTGGTAACTAAGCACCACGCAGCTGCTCACTCACTCCTACCCCCCACAAGGGGATGGGGAAGACAACAGAAAAAAACCTTTGTGAGTTGAGATAAAGGCAGTTTAATAGG